CTCTGCCAAGAAAAGTTTAAGAAATAAAAATCAAAACTTTTTTTCCTAAAGAGAGAAAAAACAAAAACTGGAAATAAAACACAAGAAAGGAAGATCTGTCAGCAGATGTTGAAGGGAAAGGAACAGCTGTCAAAACTATTTGCATTAACTCAATATGGCAAGGAAGAAACAATACTTTGAAAAAGTACTTTTTAAAAATCAGTGGCTAATGTGTATTTTTAAACCACATAAAACAAAAATCATTCAAACCCCAAGACACCTATTCATAAAACTTCCCAGTTTCCACTGCTCCCTTGGTAGCCTCTCTCACTCAGGATCCAAGCTACTGTGATCTTCTTCTTCCCTAACTACGCCTCACCCTTCCCCTAAAAGGAAGGTTCAATTATTTTTGTTGCATCACTTGTTACTTCAAATGGCCACCTGAAAATTTGCCAGTAACTCCAAAGAGCCTTCTATAAGCAGCAGCTGTTCTCCAGCTTTGTCCATTTTGTTCTAGTCCTCCAATTCCCCCCTAAAATAACATTAGCAAAAAGTCTTCCCAAGCTATAAAGCATTTCTCACTTTTCAGTTCTTCAGAGCATTTTCACAGTCACTTGGATTTCCCTTGATCCCTTCCAGTTCTTGCATCAGAAAAGCGCATGTAGCGATACCAGATCAGAAGGAGACTTGGTACAGAAAACTGACTGGACTGTACAAAAGCAGCTGAACGTGAACAGCTCACATGAGACTCCTTTTTCCAGGTGGTTACAAGTTCTTCCGTTGTAACCATTGATACCCAGCCTGTGTTTTTCCTTTCCTAATGCCAGTCAGGTAATTAAAAACTGGCCCAAACAGGAAGCAAAAAGCAAAACATATTTATGTTCGGTCTCAATTTGTTTAGATTAATTATCTCATCAGTTTGATGGAGAAGTTTGCTGTATTCATGTCAATGAAATATATCAAGCGTGTCTTCTGTTTGGGAGCAGGAAGACCTCACGACCTGCCAGAACTCTGGACGCCCACTGCATTTTGCATTTCAAGGTCTATAAGCCAACATTTTCTTGATTTCAGAAATAATAATCGGTTTTAAATTTACTTTTTCTCCTCAAGGAGGAGGAACTTGAAACGTGGCCCTGGGTGGGGAAGAAAGTATTGCAAGGGGTAGAGAGAGCAAGGCAACAGGGGCTGGTACCCCTACGTTTGCCTGCTTTGTAGAGACGCTCCCTTATGTCTGCTGGGGAAAACATCCACCTGATCCTTGTCTTGCCTCAGGATTTTCTGGCCGGTGCAGCGCTGGGACACAGTAAGCCAAGGTGTGGGCAAAGCCGGAGAAGAGCACCGACGTTGTGGGTCGGCAGGAGCTGCGAGAGCTAGCGCGCTGCCCTGGCAGAGGCTGTCTTCAGGGAGCCTGGTCAGCTGCCTCACCGCTGGCTGTGATTACAAGCCAAAGGGCAAAACGTATTAACATAAACTAGTTTTCAGTAAGTTCTCCTTCCTCCTCTGCTCTTAGTTGCTTATAACGGTAAAAACATTTTAGTCTGTCACCAGTCTGGCCGTTCCCCTAACTTTAGATCCCTCAGAGAAAGTACTGAAGACTAAGAACATTTGGATTAGGGGAGCTTTTTTGTTACACATCAAAAGTATGTTTTAACAATCGGTAATGCTATACATATACGTGTGTGTGTGTGCGTACATATAGATATATATATATATTTTCCCCCCGGTGTGATCCTTCTCTTTCCTCGCCGCCCTTCTCGCCGGGCTGCAGGTGCGCTCAGCCCTCGCAGCTGACTTCGGTGACTGTTAACGGAACCTTCCCCCCCCACACCCCTCCCCCCGCCCCCAGACGAACGAGCCGCGCAACGGCACCGCTCGCCAGCGCACA